ATGGACAAACTCCACTTCAATCACGGGAATATGCTCAATGGCGGCGTAAGCAGAAAAAGGAAAATCGACGTCCAGCGCCTTCGCCAGTCGCACTAAATCATTCAAACTTTTCAGACAATGAAAAATAGGCTGGGCACCCAGATAATATTTTTCGAAAGCGACGCCATTTTCGATCCGCTGCATAAGCGCACGCATATCTTTATCTATTTCCAGCACATCGGTCAGATGCTTAATATCGCAATCACGCAGGCGCTGTTGTAATTGTTGAATTAAACAATCGATTGGCGCGACATGTGAAAAATGCAGTACCGGTTCCTTTTGCCCGGGCGTATGGCGAATAAGCGTTGGCAGCGCAGTCATAGGGCGATTGCGATTAGGCAGAACCTCCGTACCAACAATGGCATTAATGGTGGTTGATTTCCCTGCTTTCATAGTACCGACAATCGCCAGCACCATTTCCAGTTGGGAAATTTTACGCAACTCATTATTCAGCATCGCGTGACGCTCGGCGATATTAGGCTGACTCCAGGGTAAAGCCAGTTGTGGCGCATCATCTCCGGGTACAGAGAGAGGCATTTTTTCCAGTAACTGCAACTGTTGGCGAGAAAGCTGTAACAGGCGTTCAGCCTCCTGACTTAACTCATACAGGGTCTGTGTGTACATAGAAAATTCTTCCTTAAAGCAAATTTTGTTACTTTTATTTAGCCAGATTGTTTTTGAGTTCTGTTTTCGGCTTTTATAATTACTGCAAGAAATAATTTTATATTTAGCGTGTTGTTTTTTATTATAATAAATAACGTCTTCCGATACGTTTAAAACGTCAGAAAGATAAAAATATCATGTGAATTAAAAAAAGAACAAGTAGAGCATTAACATTATCTTAAATAATAAATAGAGGCAAAAAGATTATTTTCTTTTTGTGTTTCCTTTCAAATGAAAACGATCGTCGTCTAAAATCAGCAGTACCCCCGACAAACTCAGGGATTTTGTGTATAATTGCGGCCTTTTTCGGCAATCTGCCGTTTTTTGGCGCTTTTGCCCTGCTGACTTTTGAGGAAATCCACATGTCATTACCACACTGCCCAAAATGCAACTCCGAATACACCTACGAAGATAACGGCATGTACATCTGCCCGGAATGTGCCTACGAATGGAACGACGCAGAACCTGCACAGGAAAGCGACGAGCTGATCGTTAAAGATGCTAACGGCAATCTGCTGGCTGACGGCGACAGCGTTACCATCATTAAAGATCTGAAGGTGAAAGGTAGCTCTTCGATGCTGAAAATTGGCACCAAAGTGAAAAACATCCGCCTGGTTGAAGGCGACCATAACATCGATTGCAAAATCGACGGTTTTGGTCCGATGAAACTGAAATCTGAGTTTGTGAAAAAGAACTGATTGTATTGTGATCGGTAAGCCGGATAAGGCGCTCGCGCCGCATCCGGCAACGGTGCCAGATGCCTGATGCGACGCTTGCGCGTCTTATCAGGCCTACAAATTCCCGCACCCTCCGTA